TTTAATTCACAGTCACAAAATGATGCCAACACAAAATACAAAATATAAACCTTGTAAGGACTAATGATAGTGCAACAAAACAAGAAACGGTAAAGAACATGAATACCATCAAGAATGAAGACAGTGAAAATATGAATAACGTTAAAAATCAGTAAAATGGTGATAGGTTTATAATGCATACACCCGTCGATGGCTGAATACAGCCGAAACTAGTAGTGTATTAAAATGATATTTTAAACCTTTTAATATTATTTTATTATTATAATTGTGAGTGACTGTAATTTTCTAATATACATTTTAATATACGGATCACAATATGACGCAATTACAATATTTTATTGTTTTCTTTGTTTCCATAAATGAATTTTATCCTTGCATGTCATCTCATTTGATGAGTTCAGGTCAGACATTTACTTGACCATAGTATCTCATGATGAGCTGTGGTTGCTGTGTGTAATCTTCCATGTAGGTGCTTGTATTTAATTGATTGATTCATTAAAAAATTGAAAGATCCCAGTTATGAACAGTAGAAACTCATGACTTCAAAATCCTATGCTCTGCTTCTGCTGCTGGCTTATAGTTAATGTGAAATCAGTTGATTACATATGATGTTTTAGTAAGGGTATACTTGGTTAGTAATATACTTGAAAGCTAAGTGGCAAGTGGCAGTACTGCAAGTTGCCAAAAATCTTCATGTTGTAATAATATGTTAACTGTTGTTTAGATTTGCATTATTTTTGTGTCACATCTGTCAGTACATGCAAATAAAATTATTACTCAAGTTTCAACTAAAATGTTGTCATCTTCTGGTGCTGATGCTATTAAAATATCAGTAATAAATTGTTGTATTGCCACATAATAAATTTTTACGTTTAACCCTATTGACCTGGTGTTTAGCTGCGATGTCTGTGCATTTCTGTGTACTGTGAAATTCAACCTTACTCTACACCAAAGAACAGTCTCCTCTGAAGATTTCTGTCTTCTGGGTTGTTGCACTGTGTAGTCTGGTATGACCTTTGAAACGTTGGTTAACATCGACCAGACTACACAGCGCAACAACCCAGAATCTTCATACTCACTGCTGTGAAAACCTCACATCTTAAACAGTCTCCTCTATTTACTGCAAGATTCCAATATTACGGAACATGAGAACATGCTTAGATTCAAGTATACTGACATTTTTATCATTAGTCACGATCGAGTAAGATTTGCTCTGTATGGAATAAGAAGGAAATGCGGTGGGAGGAATCTATTATTGTATCAATTCTAGTGATGTGCGAACTGTTCAAAATTTTGAGTCAAGTTAAAAGAAAAATGGATGGTTTGGGGGATCACCATTGAGTACCAGTCTAGATGTACAAGTAAACATGGTTCAACACAGCTTGAAGTATGAATTGCTGGTTTTTCTGTATTAGGGAAAATTCTCTGTGGAGATGAGGCTCCTCTGGCAAGTCAGTTCCAGATGTGGCTTGACATGCACCCTGGATGGGAGGCTGCCCCACGTGAAGATGATGATGAGGATGAAGATGACGATGTATCGGATGATGATAGTGATGATTACGAAGACGAGGACAGAGGTGTGAATGTATTAATTTTCTTTTTTACTCACTATTTTTTAAATTATCTGGCTACTCTGTTCTTTTTGTTTGTGGAAACAGGTTGGAGAATGTGCCCCATTTTCTACACTTCTATGTGTGTACTGGTAGGGTATAATGTAATGAATAAGTAGTTGTATTAATCGTCTCTTGGTAATAATATATTATTCAGAATTTAAGATAGATCTCTTCTGGGTTGCACTCATCAGGGTGATGAGTGTACTCATTACCCTGATGGTGGAGGTAGAAGGATGTTTGAAATGTTGGTAAACTTCTACCAGACTACATGGCACTACAACCCTGAAGATAGCCATCTTCGTACTTAACAGTGAGAAACTCAAATCCTCTATACTAGGATTGGTTCAAATTTTTACATGGACTACAATCAAGCATGAATTTGTAAATACCTCTTTTGATTGTATTTCAGTAAATATTGGCTACATAAATAAGGTTGACAAAGAGCCATGGATTTAATGTTTTATGTTTGCACATTTTTATATATAATGTGTCATTTGTAGATATGTGTTTTTGTACGTTGTCAGACTTGTCAGCCTGAGGATTCTTTATGTGCTGGTTTATGATACTCTGGTAATTATTCTGAATAAGTGTAAATGTATTTATTGTTATTTAATACTAATGTAAGACAAAATGTCTGTTGCATGTAGTTGTGAAGAAGAGTAGGGATGGTAATTCATTGAATTCCAAGTTGTCTGAAGAAGAGAAAGCAAAGGTTGTGATACAGAAGGCCAAAGTGGAGGATGATGAGTACAAGAACTTTACAGAGGAACAGACATATTATAGGTATGTAAACATACAGAAGGATAACTTCGGTAAAATGTGTGATATCAGGTTTCCATAGCAGATTGTATGAAGATGACTGACTGCCTTCTAGGATGCTGTGCCACGAGTCTCATAGAAATTGTCTGACGTTTCAGAGTTGGTCACTGCCTGCATCATCACTCTGATGATGGAGACAGTAAGAACCTCTGAATTGTTAATACATTTCTATGCATCTACATGGCACAGCATCCTAGAAGGCAGTCATCTTCTTTAATCCTATTGCTATGGCATTTGAATGTACAGTGAAACCTCTATCCATCGTTCCCGGAACTATCGTTTTCCCGGATGCATCGTCCGTTTTGTTCGGTCCCAGATACATCCCATATAAAATAATGTTACATTTTCCCGCTTCTATCGTTCCTCGAACTATCGTTTTATCGCATCGATCGTTCAAAAATCTTAGTCCCGGCCCACAATTTTCCCGCAATGATCGTTTCTGAGAAATTAAAATGCTGGGTTTTGAGATAAATTAATACCGAAAGACGCACAATGTTTTTGGAATACACAGTAGCGGTAACCTGTTATGTCGCCCAACCAGCACATTCTTTTGGAATGAGGGTCAGCGGTGCAGGGGTGATAGTTGGAGTGAATGGCGGTGCTCATTGTCAGAAATTTTACGATTTTAATTAGGGTGCACTCATATTTCGTTCCAGCGATGCCAAATGGCATGTGCACTGTGAATTTCTTCACAAATGCTTTTATTACAAGTACAAAGGAAAGGCTGGCGGCACTTTTCATTCTTCTGGTTCATCTCGTTTCCAGTGGTTCAGTGTCTTCTACGGCTACGTTTCGTCGTGTTCGGCAGTAACAGTACTTCCATTCTTCCTGTTATTGTTCCAGTCTATACTTTTGTTGTTGTTCCCGTAAATATTTTGTTATTCCTCTTACTCCTGTTAATTATTTTGTTATTATTCCTGTACCATGTCTCGCCCACTAAAGCAAGTCAGAACTCTTCAAGAAAGATTAAAAATCATAGAAGAAGTGGAGAAGAATCCATTTGAAAAAAGAATCGACATTGCTAAACGCCTTGGATTAGCACCATCTACTTTAAATTGTTTGTGTTACCACATATAGCAGAATTCTGTTTTAGTTGACATTAAAGAACAATATTCTCCATTTCCTGAGCTATAAAGGCATTCTTGTTGCTCACCAGAGTGCTACCTTGTAGTATGAAGAACTTGGAGTTGTATGCAATGTCAAATGGTTGCTGTGCTTTGGAAAGCTTTGTGTTTTGAGCATTATTTTTACACTTTTGCTAACACTTATAAATTTTAAGCAGCGTGCTTTATAAATATAATACTGAATATTTAATTTTAGCGATTTAATATTTATAACATACATTATAACCTAATCCTCGTAATGAGTTCCAGTGTCTGCCTTAAAATTACATTATTTTAGGAAAGCAGTGGTAAAATGATGGCTTGGCACAAGGGTTAAGGAACATTTAAATTCAGTGTGTTTGTGACATATGACACCAAGTATATTACCGACCTTTGTGACATTAAAATGTCGGGAGTTGGGATACTCAAAGATGGAGGAAGGATCATGAGGTTGTAACAGATATTTTACTTCAAATTTTTATTTGTAAAATATGTTAACAAATTGTTGGAAGTGTTTACAGGCGTATGTTAAATATGAAGACAGTGTTTTGCACTTTTATCTTTACCAGGTGACAAACTATTGCACCATTTGTACTTGAAAGCTCTGTCGCTTGATGCGTGATATGTTAGGTAAAGAGTAGTTTAAATATTGAAGTGGTGAGATTCTGTGATTATAGCCCTACTGGTTAATATATACCCCTAAGAGTTAATCTTCTGCTTGTGTCAACATTTCAATCTAGTGTTGTGTATTATTGCAGTCTTGAAAAATCTCAAAAATATTAAAAGAGTAAATGTTAATTGTTTTGTGAGACTGTGTTTCTGCTTGTTGACAGATTTTATGTACAGTACAGCTTTATTAATTCAAAATGTAAGGAAAACGTGATATGCTTTGAATTAAGTGGGTTGCAGTTGTGTAATTTTTACTGCATATATGCAATTTGTGTTCAAGATATTTTGATTGGGTATGAGTTCTAGGTGACATGAGCCTGGCTGTTGAGGTAAGGGTTTCATTGGACCTTGGACATTTTGGTTCTATTTTGAAACCTCTGTGAGAAACAGATTTCGTTACAAGCAGGATTTAATGGTGACTGATTTCATGTCAGTTGAAATGTTTTGTATCTACAATATATGATCTGTATCTCTTACTTTCAGTTTAGTAATGTTAAATTAATGAGTTTATACTATCTATACTGTGCATAATTTTTTTTTTCAGCATTGCTCATACAATTACAGAAAAGGTGACAGAGCAGGCATCAGTAATGGTGAATGGCAAGTTGAAAGAATACCAGATACGGGTACGTGGAGCTTGGTGGTTCACATTAAATTTGAAGTATTTTTTCATTTGGATTAAAAGATTTAGGGATTTAAGATTGAGAAATATTCACTGTACAGATTGGCCAATGGGTTGTATGCTACAACCATTTAATTTTGCTGCAGTGAAAGGATGGATAGAATGAACTCTTGAACAGATGTTGAATTAACAGAATTTTAAATTTTGCATAGTCTTTTACAGTTTGTGAGGCGTCACTGCCTGTTTTCCTACATATATATAAAATTATAGTTGTTAGAGAAGTTTAAAAGTTAAGAGTAAAAAGCCATATGTCAAAACAAATAAAAAAGAATATTTTGAAAAGGGAAAGGCAAAAGAAAGTAGAAAGAGCAAAAAAATATTAAAAGCAATGAAAATGATGTGACAGTAGAAGTCATAGAAGTCAACACAAGTACAAGATTGTGAAAAGTATTTTATAATGAGGGAACAGTTGCTGTTAAATAAATTTAAACCTTTTCTTTTAAGATTATATTCATGCAGCAGTCGGTGCTGAGATATGTATAGCTATCCTGAATTCAAAGTTTATATTGATGAAGAATAAATAAAATGTATCTGTGTGTTTGATATTCATTATGTTACAGGCTTAGCATCATGAAACCAATACATGAATTTTGGTCATTCTTGTATCTTTTCAAAATTTATGTTTATATTGTAATTTTTGTCATAATACATTTGAGGATATTTGAGGTTCTCACAGAGGTAAAATTTTAGATGGTCACTTGATGGGCTGTGATGCCATTTGGTCTTGTAGGTGTAGAAATTTAGAAGGACCTCATCTCCTCCATCTTCAGGGTGGACTGAAGATGAAGGTGATACATTTCTCCACAAATGTTGGCAGACACCTACAAGTCTGCATGGTATCACAATCCAGAAGACTACAGTTGTCAGTACAATAACAGGCTTGATCCAATTCATGTGGTTTAAAAATAAGGTTTGTGATAGAATTTATAACAACAGTACTTCATTTTTCTTAGTAATTCAGATAGACTTTTAAATGTATGAATGTGCCATTTTCTTTTATGTTGAATGAAAAGCACCTTTTTAAAATGCTCATTAAGGAATTTGGTCCTACTTGAGTGTTGAGGGTGAACATAATGAAATTCTTGAGAGAGGGCGATAGCGTACATTGGTTTCCAGTGTAATAGAGCTGATTCATTTATTTTTAATTACAGTATAATATTTTGATTTATTTATTCTTTTTCATCACTTGCACACAGTTTACTGTGTGGGCCATAGGAGTTCATTTGTGAAGTATGACATTGTAACATCCAGTGTTAACAGTGGCAGAAACAGTTAATAATCTAAGTTATTTACTTTTGTTTAGGGTCTGGAGTGGTTGGTATCTCTGTATAACAACAATCTGAATGGGATCCTGGCAGATGAAATGGGTTTGGGGAAAACTATTCAAACCATTGGACTTATCACATACCTGATGGAAAAGAAGAGAGTCAATGGACCCTATCTCATCATTGTGCCTTTGTCGTAAGTACTTGAAGAATTTGCTATATGTTTCAGTATTTAGAAGAATAAACTTTCTGTAAGTTGAAACCAGTAAGTTTCAGCAGTTGTACACAGCAAATGTCTGAAAACTGTCAAAGTTGATGAGTGAAAAACTGATGTTTGAATCAAGATACTTTTTCCTATATTTGATTTGATATCTGAAAGTATCTAATATCATTCAGAAATGAAGGGGAAAAGAAAAAAGAGGAAGAAAATGAAAATACATTAAAATTTGTTGTTTAGTGTTGTAATAAATTCCAAAAAGAAAAAATTGTATCACCAAACATAAATCATACAGACATTGAATCTTGAAATATTTTGAGAAAAAGTTAATACATGCTGTTACTGCAAATTGTAGGCACAAAAGAAAAATGCAGATGTGGGTGAGGGAAAATATTAATTTATTTTCTAACTTTATAACAGTATGCATGTGTAGTACGTTATTTAAGGTCGCATACGTTATTATGGTTGTTTACATGCAGCACACTATCCAATTGGGTGCTGGAGTTTGAGAAGTGGGCCCCATCTGTGATTGTCGTGGCATACAAGGGCTCTCCAGCCATGCGCCGTACAATACAAAGCCAGATGCGTGCCACCAAGTTCAATGTGCTGCTCACAACATATGAGTACATCATCAAGGACAAAGCTGTGCTCGCCAAGGTAGGTTTTCTAGTGACGTTTACGAGTCATGGCTTGCTTTTGCATCATGATTTTGAAGGATGAGGCCTTGCTGAAATTAGGAAAATATAGTAAATTGTTGTTATTTAGTTCAGACCCTGTTTTCATCACATCTGCTTTCCAGCACACCAAAAGATGTGAACACCTAATTTGCTGGTTATTTGGTATCGTTATGAAATTGTAAGATCTCTTAGTTTTACAAATATCTGAAAACGTAGTACTCGGGGAAATCTGGGACTGAAGAGCGATAGAGTGTGTGGGCAGTTTAGGATGTTACATAACAGGGAACTTCATTAATTACACAGTTCATGGAGGTTATGATGGACTTGACATATGGCTTGGATGGCGAGACAAAAAACTCGCTCAGGATTGTGTCCAGTGGTAGGCTTTGTTGTTAGTAGGTCCTATTAGTTAAATTACCATTTATTATAACAAAACTGTAATGTTTGTTCTTTTGCCTATATGGTTTTATTCTGATTTTTAATTATATTTTTAGAGTAAAGAGTGACAGTCTCAGGGATTAGGTGTGACTTACATGAGACCAGTAATAATGTTTTTGTGTTCTGTTGATTTTAATGGTGCGTTCTCTTTTTACCTGCTTGAAAGGATAAATATTATTGTAGTTAAGTTAAACTGGAATTTCAATGAAAATATTGCTTGATTGTTGAGTTTTCTTTAATCCAAAACACAAATGTTACAGAGTTAGGTGTTTAATTATTTTAATTGTCTGCATTGAAAAGAATCAGTGGGATCTAACAGCCTATTAAGTTTAATAATTAGTTTTATCCTCAGTCTAAATGTTATGTAATGGTACCTGAGTAAATATTGAAGAAGGCAGCAAGATCAAACTTACCTTCATGATACCAGCAATTGTGAATTTACATTTGTTATGAATTAATCAATTCAGTTACATTGATTATAGCTACTGCTCAAATTGTCACTGGGTAAATGAAGTATTTGTTGGTTTGCAACATATGTTTGGTAGAAGCATCTATTTCTCCAAGTAAAATTTTTAATATTGTTTCTCCATCACTGCATTTTGCACAGAGTTAAACAAGAAGTGAATATTCTGGTATGATTATTGAGGTATTTGGAAGTATGTTCTTGATTATAGTTGCGTTGGAAGTTCATGATTATTGATGAGGGACACCGCATGAAGAACCATCATTGCAAATTGACGCAAGTTCTGAACACACACTATCTGGCTCCACATCGTTTGTTGCTTACCGGCACCCCTCTACAGAACAAGTTGCCTGAGCTCTGGGCACTTCTGAACTTTCTGCTTCCCTCAATCTTCAAGTCAGTCAGTACCTTTGAGCAGTGGTTCAATGCTCCTTTTGCTACAACAGGAGAGAAGGCAAGTTGCTGTATACATTGAGAGCATCTATAAGTCTAAATAATGAATGGCAATGCATTCTCTAAATCATCGCACTGTATCATTATAGCAGGCCCTTAGAAAATAGTGTGTGCTTTCAATTATGTGCAAGATTAAATTCTGATCTGCTTACTGAGGATAACATGATATGCAAAACAGATTTTGTAGGGTGCACCAAGAAGTCTGTCCAGACATTGTGTTTATGGTGATATTTGTAGATGTTGACACTTCATTCTTTATGAAGCTGTTTGTAGAAAATTTGACTCCATTATTTAATCTTTGCCTGTATGTAATTCTGAAAATATGCTGTTCTTATTTCAGATATATGTAATCTCAAATTACTTTAAATATCTGTTCATTATGTAGCAGAATTTAACTACAGTTTTTATGACAGGTTGAACTGAATGAAGAAGAAACAATATTGATTATCCGTCGTTTGCATAAAGTTTTGCGCCCATTCCTACTTCGTCGTTTGAAGAAGGAGGTCGAGTCGCAGTTACCAGACAAAGTAGAGTACATCATCAAGTGTGACATGTCAGGGCTGCAGAGAGTGCTTTACAGGTGGGAAATGTTTTATAATAGGTTACCATTTTTAATTGGTGGTGTTAAAATGTTATTCCTGTATATGGGCATAATGCCACAGTCATGAAGGTACTGGTTGTGGTCTTCAGGATTATGGGACCATGTGGTCTTGTAGATGGTTACCATCATCCTGAAGATGGAGATGATACATTCCTCTGAAATGATGATGAGCATCTACAAGATCACACAACATTACAACCCAGAAGGCCATCAATGACAATTTCATTGTGGACACTCCATGTAAAATTGTGGAAAATTGTACATACATTTTCTGCATCTTACCATTTCCAAAAAAATATTATCCCCCGTGGCTTTAATAATCAAGGTAGTGTTAAATGATTGTTTGCAGCCACATGCAGAGTAAGGGCGTCCTTCTAACTGATGGATCTGAGAAAGGAAAGCAAGGGAAGGGTGGGGCCAAAGCCCTTATGAATACCATCATGCAGCTTCGTAAACTTTGCAACCATCCATTCATGTTTCAGCACATTGAGAAGGCATATTGTGACCATGTTGGCATTCATGGAAGTGTTGTAATAGGGTAAGTATTTCTGAAAGTAATGTTGTATTAGTCTTAACAAAATAATATTGAAGCACATAAATGTTCTTCTACCCCTACATTTGTTATATTCATGTGGTATTTTCTCTTTTTTCTTTACTTGCATTGAATTTGTACTGTTATAATTATATAATCAGTTTGGTAAGTTGTACCTTTGTTGCTGTTTGGGTGTTCATAGTACTGAAGGGGGAGAAAAGAAAAGAGGGAGAGAACTCCTACACTTCACAAGGTTTTGGTGTATGAATATTGCAGGTACATTGTGTAGCTAATTTCATTATGCATGTAGCAAGATATGTTTGATCTTCTTGGACTGTTATGTGTACACATGTTGGTGGCCAGCCAAATGAGGTACATGAAGGGAGGGGAAGACCATCAAGCAATAGTGCATACATTGTCTTGCTGCCCCTTGCCCTTTCCATCTTCCCTTCCCCTCTTACTGTGATATAGTCCAGGATCAGATGTATTTTGCATCCAGTGTAATGGGTGGGAACATATAAGAATCAGCATTTAATCGTTTATTACTGATATGTCATTCTTTCCCAGGCCAGATCTGTACCGAGCATCAGGAAAATTTGAGTTGCTTGATCGCATTTTGCCAAAGTTGAAGGCAACCAGTCATCGTGTACTGCTTTTCTGTCAAATGACGCAGCTGATGACCATTATGGAGGACTACCTTGGCTGGCGTGGGTTTATCTATTTGCGTTTGGATGGCACCACGAAGGCAGAAGACAGGGGTGAACTTCTGCGCAAGTTTAACAGTCCTGGTTCTGATTACTTTGTGTTTTTGTTGAGCACTCGAGCTGGAGGACTGGGTCTGAACTTGCAATCTGCTGACACTGTCATCATCTTTGACTCTGATTGGAATCCACACCAGGTAATTGTTGCAGAACTGCACTAAGTGGGTTGGTGCAACAGTCACATTCCAGACGTGCATTTGGAAAGTATGTGGCCTAACGTATTTTTCATACATTTATTTAATTCCCTAAGGGAAATTAAAGGATAGTGCAGTAGAAGCTTTGTTGTCTCAGATGAATGGGAAATGGTATATTTTGGCTTTCCAACAGTTTAGTTTCAATTTACAGTTCTACTTGTTACAAGAGGAAAACAAAAGTGAAGGAAAATGAAATTACTCATTAAGTCCCTGAAAATATTGTTTTTATGTTTTGAAAGACAGAAGGGCAGTAGAGTATGTACATAACAGAACCATTAGCTTAAAATACTGTTCAGGTGTTTTACCACATTACATAAAAATTCAGTTTCACTTAAAAATTACTTAAATACTGTGCACTATATATAAGTCACTATTATATTTACTGTCCCTCAGGTTTCTCAGATTCTAAGTAAACCACATGCTTTAGTTCAGGCATATTTACTTAAGGTGTCGGTACAAACAGCGCAGACATTGGATGGTTAATTCAGATTTTACTGTACCTTGAAATAACCACTACCACTTCCTCTGGCACCCCTCACAATTTATTTGTAATTATACAGCATCTCATTAACTGCTATATATAACCCCAACCTTTAATATAACACAGTGGAACCTTGAAATAACAAGCTCAATTATACTGTGCATTTGAAAGTACTGTAGCTTTGGTCATGTCCCTCATTATTACATGTTAATTGAATTAATTTTATTTTCCATTATATTTTCTCATTTTTAAGCTGTATCAGAGATTTGAGATTGTGTTGTCACAAACTTGTTAACATGGGGATTTCTCTGTTCCTGTCCTGTATGGTGTTTGAACAAACTTTGTGTTTTGTATCTTGTTTTAACATAACGTGAGAAAGGTTTTGGGAAATTAGCAATTGGATCAAAGCATGCACATAAGAAGATAAGCTTTATGAAAGACTTACATTCATATATGAACTTTCGGTACCTACATTTGACAATGTAATTAACTACAATTGTTTTCCAAAATGAGGCATATGATGCCCAAAATGTGATCTTTCTTGACAGTACTCTGTACAGGATGTAGTGACATTCAAAATTTAACTCAGTTATAAGTTCTCAGTTCATATCCAGGTATCATATCGCTGATCATAATCTCATATGAAATAATTATAAAATTGTTGTGTTTTGGGAGGGGGTGCATTCAGTAACTTCTAAAATATTACATGTTATTTATATATTTTTTATGAATTATCATACTTCTAACATGTTTTCTTTTAACACATTCAGATCTAGATGGAAATTTATCAGACTGCCACTTAAGCATGACTGTTTTGCCAAAGAACATAGTTTTTGCTACATTATTTTTACACATAGTTTTGTGTGTTGTACAGAGTGTTTTCTGTTGATATTGCAATAGTGAGAGACTTATATGCTAATTGTGACATGTAAAGAACAAATCTAAACCATGTGTCACACAAAGAAATTTCTGATTATGAGCATTTCATTGAGTAAAACTTATGTTTCAAGTTTCCCTCCAAAGATCTTATTGCATTAAAATCTATAAGGTGCAAAGCATAACTACAAAACACAGAGTTGTAATTATGGTTTGTAACATACATTTCTTAGGATTTGCAAGCCCAGGATCGAGCGCACCGTATTGGTCAGAAGAATGAAGTGCGGGTCCTCCGACTCATGACAGTAAATTCTGTGGAGGAACGTATTCTAGCAGCTGCACGTTACAAACTCAACATGGATGAGAAAGTGATTCAGGCTGGCATGTTTGATCAGAAGTCAACAGGCTCAGAGCGCCAGCAGTTCCTCAAAACGATTCTTCACCAGGATGAGGCAGATGATGAGGCAATTAAAATTCTGATAAATGAAATGAAAGAAACTCAAAATTAATGTTTCTTGTATAATTTATAAAATATTCTCCATTGTTCTAATCTGAAACATATTGTAAGTTATTAGAATGCAGCATTAACTATGCAGGTCTTAAAAAATACATTGGCAATGCAAAACTTAAGAATTATGCTTGTTGGTTGAATGAGGTAAGGTTTTTTTCTTGTCAGTTTTAGACTTCTAATTTTTGGGTTGTATTGCACTTGAGGTCTAATTGAATTCTGGTAAAATGCATTCTGCATCCAGACTGGCTGTGGAGCCTACCTAGCTTCCTGTCCAGTGGGTCCTTTCCCTGGGGGTAAAGCTGATGCTTACCACTCTCCCCTCAAGTGCCTACATGGTGGTAGCAGGACAGCTTAATTAATTAAATGCGATTCTTTGCCACATTTGTCAGTGCAAGTGTTGGTTAGATTCTGATTGAATTTTGTATTGGGGCCTCTTACTATTTATTGACTAAATTCAGGGCATTTTTTATTGCTTTGTGGTTAGGAATTGCTAATGAAAGTGTGTTTTACATAGTTTAGTTTGGAATTGAAATTCATTTACCTTATAACACCACTTATATTGCAGGAAGAGAATGAAGTGCCTGATGATGAGACAGTGAACCAGATGATTGCTCGGTGCGAGACCGAATTTGAGTTGTTTCAGAAGATGGATCTAGAACGTCGTCGTGAGGACTCTAAACTTGGCTCAGACCGCAGACCTCGTCTAATGGAAGAACAGGAGTTGCCAACATGGCTTGTGAAAGAGGATGAAGAAGGAGATAAGTGGACAGCAGAGGAAGAAGAAGAACGCTACTATGGGCGAGGATCTCGCCAACGTAAGGAAGTGGATTACACTGACAGTCTGACAGAGAAGGAATGGCTGAAGGTAAATTAAGGCATAGTCATTATTTATTGAAAAAAACAACAACAGTGTTTAGGGTCCATATATTAAATACTTCATAGTAATTTTAATTTTTCTAACCCTTTCAGAAGTCTGTGTCATGTGTCATGAAACATATTTTCATTGCTTTGTTTCAATATGATCATGTGAGCATGCTTCATATTAATGGTCTTAATTTATATACTGTATTGGATAGGTGAGAAAAGAAGGAGCACTTACCAGAGCAAGGGCCCACAGAGACATTGACAGAAGATAACACCAGGTTTTGTCCTTGTATAATCTTGTGAAAAGTAGGACCAATATTTTTTATTAATTTGTGTCATCTCAGATTTTTTTCCATATTAATTCTGTAGTTGTGAGTGTTGTTCGCTATAAAGTAGTGGTGCGGAATGTGGTGATTGCTTTTGTCATTTTTTGTCCTTCAGTTTATGTTATGCTTTGATGGCATGCTCATATACATTGGCCCATCTGTAACATGGCACATGCATTCTGAAGAAATGCCAAGTAATGTAAAATTCAGTTTTGAGGAACTGGTTGTGTCTAGTAAGGCAGTAGAATAAAACTGCTGAATTATTTTATTTCACTCGGTATGTTAGCTCTGTCATAACACATTTTGTATTGATCTTTGGTTTGGAAACTGCTTAAGGTTTTTTTTTGTGCTTCCAGTTAAATGGATGCATGATAGCTGTATCTCTCCCTTCTTGCTGTACTTTACCATCACAGTGTTTCATCTGTTGCAACATAGAAGTGTCATAAACCCTTTCACTGCCTCATTTCACTAGCACATACATTTCAGGTGTTTGGCGAGGTTATCCTAATGCATGCAGTTGACAAAAAACGTTCTTCTGGGAATCAGAAGCAGAAATGCAGATGTTCACACTACTGAATATTAATCTTCTGAGCTTGGCTTGGCTGATATGAAGCCTGTGCAAAGGGCACATGTGGGGTTGATGGTAAAAGGGTTGCTACATACACTAAGAATCAACAGATCTTACTCCCATTTTATTTGTTTGATCCACATTAACAAATTTTGTAAGGAAAAGTTGCATAATAGTGAATTCATGTTACAGGAGGGCTGAGTGTACTGAGGTTCTGTGGTTTTGTTTGCATCTGTTGCAATATGAGTAAAGAGCATATAATATTAAAAGTACATTTATTATGATGTATCAGCTGCAAAGGTTTTGTTTTGATGTTAGTGGTGACAGTGTTAGTGGATATAGTGGAATGAATTGCAGGGTAATGGAAAATAAAGATTTCTGTTCTTCATGCATCAAGTAAGACCTGGTAATAATGTCTTTTATAAATGATATTGCATTTGGTCCTCTCCTAATGTGGACACAGGCAACTGATATGAGATTAGTGATGTGTACTATGTCAGGATTTGTTTTTTTCTATTT